GGGGGGGGGGGGGGGGAGGAGTATTCCGGTTGCTCTGCTCGCCGGCCGATCGAAAATGGGAGCGGCGGTCGGCCGAGCATGTAAGATAAAGCGCGCATGAACGATTGGCTTGTTCGATTAGATGCGCGTGTTGTGTATTTGTTTTCGGAGAAAGAGGGAGGGAGAGAGCGGATTCTCACCGAGATATTCCAAAATGATGATTCTCTAAGTGCTTCCACTGACCGATTATTTGGTGATGATTCAAGAACAGAGCGAATGGTGCGTAGAAAACTTTTGATTTTTAGAATTATTTGGAATTATTAGAATTTCACAATTAATATTAGAACTTGTAACTATCGATGACCTCTTTCTACTAGGGTGGTTAAAATGACAGGTTTTGGAGAAAACAGGTGGAAATATTATTGCTTAGACTTGCACTTAATTCTGAACATTCTTATTGTTTTAGTCTTTAAATACGAATATTTAAACTTTTAACATAAAAAAAAATATATATATATATATATTTAAGGATGAGATGTTTATTTATTATGGATGAGGTGTTTATTTATTTTTTCTATCTTATAGCGTTAATCTAAAAAACATAATATAGTCTTAAAAATATAAAACATTGTTATAAATTTGAGTAATTTCTATAAGAAGTCACAAGGCTGTCATTCTTTGACTTCCTCGACAATTTCAGTGTTAGAAACAAGCTGAAGAAAGATTGACACGGGTTTTTTGATTTCCCTCAAGATGCAGACATATCAGGGACAGACTCGGTTGTGTCGTTATACCCATTCGATCCTGCTATAATCATCGTGTATCATCGAAATGCCAACAGTTATCAGCACCGAAGCGATTTACGCACGGACTGCCGAGAGAGTACCCCTTTGAGTAACATCTCTCTTCTCCCGGGCAGACGAGAGACGCGGAGGATTGCGTAAAGGAAGAAAAATAAAAAAAAAAATAACTCGATCGCACAACCGAGGAGAAAGGCGTGTTGTTCTCGCCTGGCGAGAGGCAACCCCTCATATAGACGAGAATTCAGGGTGGATAAAGTCGCTGGGTACGCCGGGCGTTGGTAAGGCACCCGCGACGCGAAGCGAAGCAAAGGGGGCCGCACAAGGGGGGAGAAGCTCTCGTGGTGTGGTGTGCGAGCGAGACGTACGACACGAGCGGAGACTATACGATTCCCGGTGGGACAAAGACGAACGACGCTGAAATCGGGGCTCAGCGGGCGCAAGAAAAAGAGGGAAGGTCGCAGAGAGGACAGAGAGAGAAAGAGAGAGAGCGAGAGAGAGAGAGAGAGAGAGAGAGAGCGAGAGAGAGCGAGATGATCTCTCCCCGTGGCACGCCGCACGTGCACACCCACACGCATTATAAAAACACGCGCGCGCGCATACACCCACGCACACCCAACAAACACACACGTAGCAAGTAGTGTGGTGGTGTGTGCGTGCGCGTACGCGTGTGCGTGCGCGGGGGTTTTGAGAGGTCGGCCAGCCACACGACGACGCACCGACGACGACGACTACGTCGACGGTGTGTACGACTACCACCACGACATCGCGTGGGGGTTGCACGAAGACCCCCTGGTGGGGTTCTGGCTGGCGACCCTACAGTCCCCCTATAGCTGGAAATGATATCAGTCGCGACTCGGTCGAGGGAGCCCCAGCACGTCGCTTAGCTGCCGTCGCGCCGAGGTTGTCGTCGTCATCGTCGTGCCCCTCGCGTAATCTTTCTCGATACGAGAATTCGCCCCTCCGAAGTGGGAGTAGATCGCGCGTCGCCGCCTTCGTCATTGCTTCTAACTCTTCCTCTTTACGCCTACAACTGGTGTGAGGTCTATTGGCTTATCCATCCATCAGCCTGTTTAACAACCGAGCACGAGCAGCGGAGGTCGCGGGAACTTCAGAGTGGAACGCGCCCACACACGGATGGAGCAGTAGAGCCAGTCTCGCCGGGGTGGCCGAGGGCTTGTTAGCCATATCGTCGCCCTCGCGACCTCGCGAGTCAAAACGAGGGCGAGAAGAGTTGCAGTAAGACGCATTTCCACGAGCGTCCGAGTACGTGGCAGAGGTAAGAGAGAGAGAGAGACTGAGAGAGAGAGAGAGAGAGAGAGAGAGGGAGAAAGAGAGAGAGAGAGAGAAAGAGGAGGCCGCGCCGCGCCTTCAGCTCATCGCGCCCCGCGTCGTTCCCCCCGGGAGCGCGCATTTCCGAGGCGCGACGTCGACGTCGAGGCGCGGATATTAATAGAGCCTCGGTGCAGCGCCGGGGTAGTGCCGCGCTCCGTTAACACGCGAGGAGAAGGCGCGCGCAAGACGTCGCGTCGTTTCCTCGCGACGGCCGACTGAATCGCGACAGCTCGAGCGCGCATTCCTGGACACGGTAGTCACGTGTGGCTCCCCACGATCGTCGCCGTCGCCGTCGCCCATGTCGTCTGCGTCTGCTGCACTTCGGCCAGATACGTAAGTCGCACGTGAGCGATGCGCTACTAGCGCGCCCACGCGCGACGCGCGTCGCGTCGCGTTGTCGCTTTCCTGCGGGTCCCCGAAACGTCTTCTTCGCGAGTTGCTTACCGGCGACGAGCCCGGGACCGTCGCGAGTTTCGCCAATATTGATAGGAATGCTCGACCTCCCCCGCCTCGTCAAGACGGAGCACCTGCGACGCGAAACTTAACTAGGTAGAACAGGAAATCAGGATAACGTTAAAATGACGAGCAAATGTTTCAATCACGATTGAAAGGTGAGTGTTGTAGTCATTTTGACGTGATTGTTCTGCCCGGATATGAATGGCGACTTCGGTCAACCATCTCAAATCTTTAAACAACTACGTGCGGCTCTGTCTTTGCGCTGTTACATTGAAGCGCGAAAACGCGTCCTTGCATCGTGTCTTTTCTCCCGCTGCTGCGACTCCTCGACTCCTCGACTAGCTTCGCCTCGAAACGGCGCGATTTTCTCGCTAATTCGCCATTTGGCGATGTTTCCCGACCACGATGATGAGGAAGGAAGGAAAGAGGGAAAAAAGGGTGCGTTTGGTCCGTGCGGGATCCCTTGGAAATGCGTGGGGGGGTCCACCAACAAAATTATGGATCGAGGCAACTCGAGGGCTTACGTCTGCGCATGACTATCGTCGCCGTCGCTGCTGCTACCGCCGTCGTCGTCGTCATCGTCGTCGTCGTCGGCGGCGTGTCGTCGTCGTCGTCGTCGATGTTTAGCCTCACTGACACGCACACATGTGCGCACGAAGGTACGCCAAGCTGCCGCGCAAGCCCTCCTGGACACAACTTCCTGTGGAGTCCTTTTCTCGTGCGCGCAACACCCCTGCGAGTTCATCAACGGTGTGCGACGCCCCGACGCGAAGCCGTATGTCTGACCATGAATGTGAATACCGCGTCCCGAAGCACTATTTTTGACCTGGCCGACGGGAGCAAGCGAGGCGTGCGCGAATGTTTACAGCCGCCGGAAAAGCGGGAGTCACGTAGTGACAGCCGAGTCGGATTCTAGATAACCGCGTGAGTAGCCACGAGACAGAAAGGAGTCGCGAGAGAAAACACGCTGCCGTGATGAAACGCGGCAATGACCAGGCGAGAAAGTAAAGCTGGGCGTTGCTGGCTTGTTCAACTCCAAAACGGTTAAACATCCGCCGAACCTTCTTCGATCCACTTCGAATTCTCCCGGAAACGTCCTTCCGAGGTGAGCTCGCGCGGCGAAAGAGGGACGTTGGAAAGCTCTCGAGACGCTAACACAAGCGACGTGTTGATTGCGTATCGCAATCAAGTCAAGTGCATTCATATTTCCGCCTCAAGTCTTAACTACATATCTGTTTCCTTTCAAGTTCCGCAAGTGAACACTAGTTCACTTAAATAAACTTTAAGTTTAGCGATAAAAGAACAGACCTTTTAGGTATTCATTGTGACCCTCACATCGCGTCGTCAGTGACACAACTGAGAGACGAATAAAAAAAGGTGTTCTTCCAAGGTGAGCTCGCGTGGTACTGGTCTGTCTCTCCTTTTCTCTCTCTTGCTCGCTCTCTTCCGACGCGCTAATCACTAGCGCGGTTTAATAACGTGCAAGGCAGAGAAGTTGCGGTGCACTACCGATCAGCGGGGGACGTCGAAGCGAGAATGGTGCCGGGCATGTTGTGTACGAGCACGGAATAATTGCGCGGAACGTGTCAATTAAAAGCAATGTCACGGCGCACCGCGCCGCGTCGTGTCACCATGCGATGCGATTATTTCGCTGGCGTGACGTAACGATTATTACCGGATTATTGCAGCAAGCGATATTCAGTATTCATTCCGCGTGCGAGCGCGATCTGCCGACGCTTCCTACGGCTCGCGTTTCCTTCTTTTTACACGATTAGCGAATTGCGCGCACAATAGGCGAGAGCATGAGGATGGTTGTAAACACGCGTTTCAGGCACACGCTGACTCTCGACGAAAACATGGGTGAGAAGATGTTCAATCTTACGTGGAACAATCACCTGGCAAACCTATCGGGGCTATTCGAGACGCTCTACAAGAGCGGCTCTCTGACGGACGTGACTCTCGCTTGCCAGGGTGGCATGCTCAGGGCTCACCGGCTGGTCTTGGCAGCATGCAGCCCTTACTTCGAGAGAGTCTTCAAGGAGCACTATGGGGATCAACCCATTCTCATTTTGAAAGGTACGCGCTTTTCGGAAACCGTTGACGTAATTTCGACGGAAACACTCTCGACGAAGTTTCGGAGAACTGAAACTAAATTTTGGCGTTTTTGCGTAAAATTTTTGCGTAAAGAGGAAAGTGAAACAATATAGTAAGAGTATATTTAGAAAACTTGGATGTTAACATATGAATAATACGTACATTTTTCAAGAACTATTATAAAAACAAGATCGAAAAAAAGAGGGACATTTAAAATTTTTATATTAGCGTGTCGCTCTTGCTGTTTAGGAGTCGCTGTCGAGGAGATGGAATGCCTTCTGGACTTTATGTACAGAGGCTCCATCGACGTGGCAGAGGAGCATCTGCCTTCGCTCATCAAGACTGCTACCGACTTGGAGATCCGCGGTCTCTCCGGGGAACAGAAAAACCAGGAGCACAAGCGTAATCCATATGCGAGGGTCGAGGCGCGCATGCAACGGTGCCACATCGAGCCCAGGGTGCACACCACCGAGTACATCAAGGACTCATCGGTGATACCGTTCTTACCGAAGCACTCCAACGTCGAAACGATGGAGGAGCACAAGGTGGAGGACATTGAGGTAGAGGACGACCCGATGGTGATTGACGACCACGAGGACAGCTTTGACGAGCTTCCGCAATCCATGGAAGCACAAATTGTGAGCGCGCATTGTCAATTAACTCGTTACGGCTCCGTGCTGGCGCTATTTCGCACAAAGTTTCACCTGGATTAAGTTGGTTTGATTTTGTTGCGGAGAAGAAGATCGTCTCGGCTCGATGACTTGACTTGGCACTTTTCAGAAACGTATACCACCTCCAATGTTCAAGCGGGAGACCAGATTCAAAGGGCAGAAGAGGGTGTGCGTGGGTCGCGTAACGCGGAACAGTGAACCAATGGAGACGAGGTCGAAGAACTCTTCGCGGGAATCCAGCTGCGAGGATATCTCGAAGATTATCAAAGGCGAGACCAGTTTTAACGACACGGATATTGTGGGATCGAACGTGCAACAACAGGTGAGCGATTTAATCCGCGCCGTTTGAATCGTTCTCTCGTTTCGTGAAGCAGCCTCTGCTCAATATCTATAATATTGATATCATAAAATAAATATTTTAATAAATAATAACCAATTAATTATATATAATAATCAAAATAATATATATATATATATATATATATATATATATATAATAATAATAATCAAAATAAAGTTTATAATAAATAATGTGATAATAGCAATGATAATACTGTTGAAGAATACAATTATTATTTAATACGTACATGGAACGAAAAGATCAGCAGTTTTGGTCGGAAATAACTGTTCAGGCAGTGTAACCGATCGTTTTTAGGGTTCTTTGATCAAGCGTTAGGTACCTTTATCCGATAATACGCAATATCCGATGGAACATGGACGGAAAATCACCCGCAATTTTATTCGTTAAAGCTTTATTGAGCAAATATACAACTTTGTCGGGTTTAAATATTCCTCGCACTATTGTATAGAGTGTATTACAATATGCCATTTTGAAAATAGATTTTTGAAAGTTTTTAATTAATATTTTTTGTGAGCTATCCGTGATGGACAGAAGAATATGGTTGTATGAAACTTCGTGTTTTTGGCCCCCAAACTAGGCTCAGAGTTCTCTTGTTATTTCTCGTTCTTCACTCAGTGCTCACTCATTTTATCCATTTTTCAATAGTAGTTAAAACTTAGATTTAAATTTAAATTTAAACTTTGTTTAAACATATCAAATTTGTCGTACAATATAGTTTAAGCTTAAATCTAAGTTTAGATTATTATTGATTTAAAAAAAAAACATCTCAGCATCACATCGAGATGGCAAGCTGAATACGCAATTCATTTGTGTGAATGATTTGTGTGTCTGTTGGCTTAAGTGAACATTTAGTGCAGTGCAATGAGTTTGGAAATTTCTGCTGACCGCTACACTGAGCTCAAATTTGTATTTGAGGTCATGAATATGAAAGAAGAAATCATCCGAATCTTCATACGTAAGTATCTTCTATTTATATACAAACATTCACATCATCTAGTCAATGACCCGTTTCATTTTCTGCTCGTCTGTTTTGTGCTTATGTATTCGCTATTATTTTAATAATCACTTTCTCACGATAGATATGTGCTCATAATATAACGAAATCCTATTAGATATATTTTCTAAATACGGCGCCATCAAATATTAGTACTGCGATTGAATATTGAAGTTCCTGTAGGCTCTAACTTTATAACGACGATGTCGTCAGTATGATGTGTCATCTATTGTATCGCGCGTAATTACATTGACTAATCTTTTTTAAGTAATGATTCAAAATTTAATATTATTTGCGAAATAGTAGAGGATTTTTGTGTTCTCTTAGTTTGATGAATTCTACTTCCACACAACAGGTGTAATTATTAGACACCTTGTATATATGTATAAGTAGTTTTATAATAGAACATAAATGTTCTAATATATTTCGCTTTATGACAAATAATAAATTATTTACTAAGTAATAAATTATTGTACGTTCTAAAAATTTTTTTCTTTAACGTTAAAAATTGTAAGCATCTCTTTTCAATTTGATCTACAATCAAGTATCATTGTAAATCATTGTAATATATCTCTTGCAACTATTTGAAAAATCCGTTAATTAAGGATACAGTTCATTAACAGCAATAAGACAATATATCCCCAACTGTTTACCAGACAAATGATGCACATGTGGTTATACATTTATACATATATTATTTCAATGTTCTTGCGTTATATTGAACGCTGCGCTAAAAGTACTGATCCGACCATTAAGTTTCAAAGAACTTTTTCATTTGACTTGTAATGTAAGGTAACAATACAGACATCATTGTATACAATGTGTCATTTTTTATCACTCAATATATAAAAATATCTATCACCTCTCTATCTGTCTTTTGTTATTCTCGCATTCATTAAATAATTTCACATGTCTGTAATATAAGCGTATTTTGCTTATACAATCATTAATATCGTTTTTAGATCCAACTGTGTTTTGTGTATTAAGAAATGGTAGCAAAAATGTTGGGTTTTGAAGTAACAATAATATTGTTGCAAAGAAACTTACGTCTTGTATTTTTCTCTTTGTTCAAGGTATATAGTGACTTGCAACCCGTAGAGATTTCATACGATGCCAGTCAACAGTCTCTTCTAACAAAGGACTCCGTGGGAATTGTTTCGTATAATTCTTTCGAGTCAACTTCGTGCACCTCTCTCCACATAAACGTTAGTTGCAGCAATAATCTTTCAAATAGTGAGGACTTGGCATATTCATTGCCGTTTACGTCAAATGCTCCAGGTGCTTTAAGCAGTGAGTAAATTAGTGAAAATCTGAAGATTTCCCTAAAAACTACCTTTGCAGAATCTTATCTGCTGAATGCGTTGCAAAGTTTAAGAGCAACATTTTGAAAACACAATTTCAGACTTGAATGATGAGCTCAAGGATTTTGCAAATCCTTTAGCCTCCCCGATTAAAGCACCAGAAAAAAATTACGCCCAACAACAAGAAACACAATCACAAATGTCCATTGTTAATATTCAAGATTCTGAAGAAAAAAATCCCCTGTTGATTTTATTACAAAGAAGCGGAGCCCGTTGGTGTAAACTCGTCGACGATTCCCAACGCAACAATATGGTACCAGTGGGGCACGACATCCACGAGATTGGAAAGATCACTGCTAAGCACCTGCTTAGTTTGGCCACTCCTCCAACACGAAAAGTATCCACGTCAACCCTTACGAAGTGGGCCACATATTTTAAACGTCTTTTTCCAAAGACACCGATATCAAGTTTTTACGCCTTTAAAACTGAACAGTACAGACGAAAAGACGGCGTTATAATTCAAAAGAAGAGGGCAGACGGAGCACTGCAATCTCAACTTTTCCAAGCGAGACGAAAGCTAATTAAAGAAAACCGAGCTACTTTGCTGAGGCGTCCGTGCAAAAAAACGGCTGGTGGAAATGCAAGTTCTTCACACGTCGTATTCACCATCAGAAATACATGGAGGCCTGTCGGTCGGCAGGACGAAAAGAATGTCCAGCTTCGCGACAAAATCTTGTCAATAGGTAATATTTTCTCTCATCATTTTTTATCTACATCAAAATTTGTTTGCTATTACGACGTATTTCGAGGATTTAAAGGGGAGGACTCTCTCCATAGCTTATATATTTTTTTAATTGCATGTTGTATAAAACAGACTCAGTTTGATATAATGTGTAACTAAATTCTTTGTATTTATTTTACTTTCAGAAATTGATCCGACAATACAGTGGCATCTCGAGTATTTGCACAACCAATTACAAAATAAGTTGACCTTAGAATTGGTAACTTCTTGGAAAGCTACCTTCACCTATAGGCGGAAGCAACTCATAGATCAGCCAGGAACTGTGTGGGATTATTTGAACGAATTTCCATTTTTGCAAATTCAAGATATAGGAAAAGCTTTAGTAAGTTCTTTTCATTATTATATATGCTTGCACGAAATTTCAGAATATAATTGCATAAAAGTCATGCCTTTTCAAATATTACTGTGAAAAATTGGATATAACTTTGTGGGATATTTTTTCTTACTTATTCTTTGACTACAAATTTTAAAAAGTATATTAATGTAGATATTGTTGTAAGTTAAATATTTATTATTATTAAACAGTGGTAGTTACAATTTTTCAACATTTTAATTGATACTGAAATATTGAATAATTATTCATAATTTTATTTTGCATCATTTAGATAAGGATTTAGTGAATATTCTCTTCAACATCAAAGTTTGGCTCTTGGCCAAAAACCATTCAAGTAAGCAAATTTTTCTATGTGCAGATTTCTGAGGACTTCAAACAAATTTGTTCTAATGCAGAGCCTATTACAAGAGACTTGGGAAAACTGGCTGAAAACTTAGATGACCGCAGAGTCGCAATCATACAAGTAGCCAAAACGGTTATGGAGAGAGCAAGCCAGCAAAAACAAAAAGATATAGCAGCTTCGTTCTTTCGCTTGGCTGAAAGTAAATCTAAAAAAAGAAGTTTATGTTCTTATTCTTATAATAATATGTTTATGTTTATGTTTATGTTCTTATTCTTATAATAATATCAAAATTAATTTGTGATTATTTATTTATTTATTTTTAGATTTCTTGTGAAATATCATATATATTTTCAGTTTCTCTTATTGCATTTTAAATTTACTGTTAATCATTTTTAATTTATTTTTAAAACTTTTATTATAACTAGATTCATTTCTGTAATATTCTATTGTGAAATGTTTTATACGCATATAAGATAATTTCGGAAAAATGTATACAAATATAAGTTTACTAATTGTCTATTTTATTATTGTTTAGATAAAATATATTTTTTTATATATTAATTGACATCTTTTTCAGAAGATTCAGATGTGCAACTCAGAGTGACTGGAGCTCTCCTGCTCCTTCCTTTTTTATTTCCTTACGCCTGTGTAGATAAAAAGTGGAAACCATCGAGGGAAAACATAGTGGAATCTTTCATCGCCAGAGTTTGCAGTGAAACTGAAGTTCAAAAATACATCGAATGTCGACGTAAGTCGCTGTTCGAAATAACAACCAGATCAACTAAAATACCAAATTCCGTGCAACCTTATGTTTTGGCAGTAGGTCCAACATGGGAGCATATCAGCCATGTCCATGTAATAGTAGACCAAGTATTGTATACATGCGAAAACATAATTGAGGCTACGGAACTTTGTTTTAAATTGTTTCACGCTTTTCACTCCGATTATCCTCCTGAAAGCAAACATGTGTGGCAATTGATACAACAAGGTTTTTTTAAATTGTTTATCACAGATCATGACTTGAAAAAAAGAACAATTACCAAGGCTTTGGCTGATATTGCTATTGATATTGAGGAAGAGAAACTATACTACTAAAGTGACATAAGAAAATTAGAAAAGTATAGTTTCAATGTGTATTTGGTAGTTTAAAATTTTGTTGCTATACTCGTTAATTTTTCTCAACTCTTCTAATTCTAAATACTTTAAGATTAGAGACAATTATATTTATTTGCAAATTTTTTATAAATATATATATATATAATATATTATATTATTATATATTATTTGCTTTCTTGTTCTACATTTGCAAATGTTTCAATTTTTTCATTTTTCAATTTTGTCAATTTGGGAACGATTAAGATTTTTATCAAAATTTTTTTTAAAATTACATCTCGATTGTTAATACTATCTAGTCATGTAAAAAGAAATATTCCACATAAAATATGCTGTCACTGCTCATTTTAGGAAATATTTTTAGTGCTTTCTTGTTTTGTGTTTACTTCAGACACATTACCGCTGTAGCTTCTCGTGCATCATATTAACGTACTACTACTGCTTTGCTAAATAAAAAGTAATTTTAAGAATACTAAAGTACCTGTAAAAAACATTTATCCAAATTTCTACAAGTCAAAGTCTTTACGTGTTCGATGAGAATTTGGATGCTTTCACATGTTTGACTTGTTGCAAACTTTTAAGATGCATTACAAAAGAATACATAATGCCGTAACTATATTCACTTCAGCAATTGATGTTTCTATCTATGTTTTCCTATGCTGCTAAGATATTAAAAATGATATCTAGAAATTCAATTTAACAGAATCCATCTTTTCAAAACTCTTACAATTAAACACCAGGTGCAGTTGAATTATTTCTTTCAAGAAAACAGACATCCTTTGAACTTTAGATATTTTTGTAAAATTAAGAAAGTTTATCTTCCACATTTAACAATACTTTTAAAACAATTGCGTCTCCCACTCTCCGTAAAATCGTATATCGCATCTTTTATCATAATTAATTGTATTATTTATAGGTCTGATGATGTTTTAACTTTACATTTTGCTAAAAAGTACGGGGACCAAGTTCTTTCAAAAATAGCTAAAATTTATTTCTTTAATTATAAAAAAAATTTTTTTTAAAGACACTTCTTTGAAAAATAGATTTTATATTTTATGATTCACTCATACTTGTACAATCTTAATACTATATCTATTTTTTTGCCACCCTTTGAATGTTATTATATAACAGTGTGGAATTTCTTAGATTAGATATGTACAGAGTTATATCATCGTAATTCACATTTATTTTATTTTAGAAAACTCGATGTAATTTGATGTAATTTTAATTAATAAATATGTATGTTAAATGTAATCTTGACTTTTAGCTTACTATTCCATTTTCTTAAGGCTCCTGGATACTCGCAACTATTTCGACTGATAACGTCAGAAGTGAAAAAATGTATATCTAAAATTTCTACAAGTACGTTGTTATAAAAAGATATATCCAAAAAATGACACAATCGATTAAGCACACCTCTAAAATACTCTAAACATTTTCTTTTTGCTCTAGCCATCAAGAAATAATCGTAAAAAATTATCGATAAAATCGATAATTATCGATTAATCGATAATTATCGATTAATCGATAATTATCGATTAATCGATAAAATTATCATGATAAAATCATGAAAAAAATAGGTTAAAAAGAAAGGCTACAGTTGATATAAATTTTACGATTGTTTATTAATTATTGAAGTAAAAGCAAAATATTCGGAATATTTGAAAGGTATACTTAATCGATTACGTCATAATTTTGATAGAGCTTCATATTTGAAAGTATTTTACAGGAATTTTGGGCATGCATTTTCTTGCTTCTGACATCATCAATCAAGAGTTTCGCAGTGAGTATCCAGAAGCCTTAACTACGAATACTCATCTTTTGATAGTCGCCTCCTGTTCTTTGGTCGCTATCTATACATAACAATTATTTTAAGTGCAAATTACAAAGTTTAAGCAATTTTACTGTTTCGTCTTGTTTAAATAACTCACTTATAACTCTCTTTCAGCATCTATGAATGATTATTCACGAGCAGAAAACACAATTGGAGAAATAGGATGAGTATAGTAGATTTCATCGAATAACTTACAGAATTTAATGGATATTATTCCACTTATTCGGTATTATTCCGATTAGAACCACTGCCTCCATCTCAGCACTTGATAGGAACTATCCGACCATGTCCACATTACTGATCGATAAAATCTATATAATGGACGTGATTGGTTAGTTTTGATTCAGAAACGATGAAGGCAATAAATTTAATCAGATTAAAGATTTGGGACAATAAAACATTTGATAAAGCATGACTTTGGATTTGAGTAGGTTTGATAAATTTAAACGGAAACAAATCTTGAAATGTTCGTTTATTTTCATCAAAATCCAATCGCACACAATCGGAAAATTTTGCAGGTACCCACTTACCTTCATTAGATAATTTTGTAAACATGTAGTCATGTGTAATATATGGTTATATTTAATCAGAAACAAAATTCGATTATTATAACATTTCCTTAAATAAATCGATTAAAAAATTAATAACGAATGATTCCTAATTGGATATTTACTAGTTGGATATTTACCAATTAAATTTTGTCGAATACAAATTTATCAGAAATATCCATATGCTAATTTTTCATCGATTTTGTCCGATTATTTTTTTATCGGGTAAATCACGGATTTTTCCCTTAATACATCGGATCGGATATAAATTAATCAGAAATATCCATTTGATAATTTTTCACTGGTTTCACTCAATTACTTTCATCGCATAAAACCAGGATTTTTCTTTCAGTGTACAATATTAAAATACCGCGCGCGCGTAAAGTAGTCAGTAATATTATAATATAAATAACAATAAGATAATTACACATTATGATGACAATAAAATTTATAATAAATAACGTGATAATAATAATACTTTAGAATAATATAATTATATTGTTCAATATATATTATATTGATACCTTAAAATAGTCCGTAATATTACAGATAAATAATAATAAAAGAATTATATATAATCATAACAATAAAATTGTGATAACAAATGGAATGCAGTAATAATAATTATGATATATAATAATAATATTGTAGAATAATGTATGAAGCAATTATACAAGGTGTCTTTTCTGAAAATGAAGCTAATGAACTACTTGCTATTTCGCAGGAAACTTCAAAGAACATAGAGGAGCCGCTGAAACCGGCAGTAAAGAGGAAGCTGGAGATATTGAAGAAGGCAGTTAGAGACGGGAAAGAGCCGAGGATGCTGCTGAAATCCGAGCGAGCTCAGCACAAGCCCTTCTCGTGCGATCTTTGCACGCTGGCGTTCACGAGAGCGTCGCATTTGGCGAGGCACAGGAGGGTGCACACGGGCGAACGGCCGTTCGCATGCAGCATCTGTCCGCGGATGTTCGCCAGACAGGATAAGCTAAAGCAGCATTTGGACTCGCACTTGCAGTGGCCGAAGAGGAGGACCCAGGCTGTGGCTTCGTTGCCGGGGAAGGGCAAACGGGGTAGACCGCGCAAGGTAGCGCGATCTCGGTTCGCTGGAGGCGAACAGTCAAACTCGAGCGATTGAACTTTGAGCGAAAGAAGATCGACGATCGTCTCGTCGAACTTACCTCTGCGTATCTTTTAGGTTAACGTGGAGTCGTCGGCGATGGAGGAGATCCTCAAGTTCGGCGAGTTCAGCTCGCTGCTGGATAAGTCTCACTTAGCCAACTCTACGAGAAAACAAATCGAGGCGAGCAGCGAGGATGACGACCGCAAGAAGAAGGAGGCGCATTTAGACGAGGACGACTCGCACAGGGACATGGACAATTACGGTTGCCAGGTCGAGAACGGTCAGGACATCCTTTAATTTTGTCTACCTTTCACTCTCGTCACCCGGATCTAGATATAACATATTTTTCTATGCATTATCGCGTGTAACGAAGATCAACGCAGCGAAGAAGGAAGGAATTACTAATTATCGAGCTTCTTCGAAAGATCATTGTATCCTTTTCTTAGGTCTATATCTCTGTCTCGTTTCGATAGGGTTTCTATTTTCTCGTGCTGATCGCGTGTACAACGAGTACAGAAAAAACAGATCGGTTCTTTTTAGCATAAGGCGCGATACTACCGATCTAATTTCGTAATTTTCCCTTTCCTCCTAATTAGATACATCAAATTGGAAATAATTTTACAGAGTGAAAGTATAAACATCAATGAATGACTGATGCTAAACAATTGCATGAAATCGATAAAAAAATTTATTAATTTTCACTTTGTGAAAGTATTTTCAATTTAATGCATCCAATTAGAAGAAAAGAGATAACTACAAAACTGCGTTAGGTTGGTATCCAGCATCGCCTTAACTAGATTGCTTTTTGCCATTCAAAATGGAAGAAGTATATAGCAGAGCGTTGAAGGGAAAAGAAACAAAGTTCCAGAGCGGCACTAGTTTAGCTAAAAAGAATAAAAAGGCTTCATTTTGGATACATAGCAAACTATAAATATGCCTTTCTAATTTTATGTTCGATTTTTCTCGTATGAACGTCACATATAACGTTATTTCAGTTTGAGAACTAAAGGCATATTTAGCGTTCACTACGCGCTCCAAAATATGGCCCCAGGCCTGAAACCAAAAAAAAAAAGAACTACTTGCAGGCTGCACAGAATTTTTTCCGGATTTTTTTCCCGAGAAAAACGAAGTTACTGCGGATACTTATCACTCTTACTTGTTGTACGTGCTTGCGAGCGTCGAGAAAGCACTCGCGTCGCTTTTATCGCTAATTATTTAACGTAAGTACCTGAAATATCGACTACTAACGTTACTACTATACCAAAGCGCACGAGCTCCAAAGAAATGTGACGCGCGGTGAACGAGAGAAAGTCGAGGGGCGATCGATCGCGCATCGACTCGGCATACGACGTCATTAGCGTCGAGCGTTAAGATTAGTCAAGGGATACTCACGCTACAAATGATCGACCAAATGATACATACATGTGAATGCGGCATGACTTTCACTGTAAACGGATCCCTCGATGCGTGTCGCGCGTATGTGCACCGTAAATGATTTCTCCGCTGAGACAGTGTCTTGAGTGCGCGACCCGCGAATTCGCCAATCGCGACCTGGCAATAACGAGCGCATGATAAGACGTGGAAATTCGTCTTTATCACGCGCATGCGAGGCCTCGCTCGTTCGCATGGGAAGAACGGCGAGCGCGTCGCGGTGTCGCAGCAGGCCTGTTCCGAGGAGCTTCCTGAACTGGTGTACCCTGATGCAATAAGTTAGAGCAAAACAATAAGTCTGTTTGTTTTCAGAGAAGAACTTCTGCATTGGTGTACGTTATAGAGATGTGCAAACTATTTGAATTCATCGAATCAAGTAAAATTCGATTCGATTCACACTCGAATTCCTATGATTCGAATTCGAAAATTTCGAATCGAAAAGATTCGAATACGGATCGCGCACATTAGTATTAACAAAGAGCTTTACAAGTATTAGCACGACTTGAAAAGTTTGCTATACATTAAGATTACTCTTTAAAAATATTAAAAGAAGATAATGGCTTCTAGATAAACTCTTACCGACAACTGTCGGATCGATATGTCGTTGTGCAGCTTTCAAGACTGGAACTGTATTCCACGTTTACCGACTATACTATATATATATCTTATATATATCTTATATATATCTTATATATATCTTATATATATATACTTATATATATATCTTTTACTTTAAAATGAATTGATTTCACATAATCAATGTTATCTCTCTCATACTGAAATCGCTATTTTCATGTTGAATTCAATGATTATGTTAATTAAAAATTCTCTTAACGATTAGATTCGAATTCGAAATTAAAATCTGAGATTCGATTCGATTAGACATTAAAAATCTTTGCACATCTCTAGTATGTTAGTTCTTCGAAAATAAACAGACCTATACATATTTATCTTACTCTAACTTACCACACCAGTTTAGGAGATTCTTCAGAAAAGAACAGTCTTAGTAGCATGGCACAACTGATGCAGTGTGAGTCACGCCTCTCTACGTAGCAAGTAATATTTTGTCATACGCGCGACTGTAACACATGTCAAGTACAAATGTCCGAAAAAATGTTAGACTATTATTGTGCGTATGTAACACTCTGCCACGCGACCACGGCGTCTACTCGAACGGGCCTAGTCGGTTCCCCCGTTTCTCGCGCGATGTACGTCTATCGACTACTACAAGAAGACGCACGTATACTTTTACGTGCATTCGTGCGATTCGCGCTGTGTTGACTGTGTTTTGAGCGAACGAATCCCGCTAGCAGTCGCTCTGCGACTGCGAGGCGATTAAACGCGACGTCTCTCTGGTCCTCAGCATCGTGTGTGTCAGTGTCCTCATAATTGGTTATTGTTGTATTGATCGGTTGTTGTTTTATACATTTTGCGTTCTGTTTTGTTTGGATATAGCTGTTGCTGGATCTCACGCGGGCGCTGTATCGCGAACGCGCCTTTTAAGGCTCCTGGCCACTCGTAGCGGGAATTCTTAATTTGATATCCAAAATATGACACTTGAAATCGACTGAGCACATCTCTAAAATATTTCGAACATTTTTCGAACACTTTGCTTTAACAATCAATGAATAACCGTAAAATTAACTTGAGATGCAACTTTTTTTTAACCTCTTTTTTCATGATTGTTACGGTAATTTCACGATTACTTATCGATTGTTAAAACAAAAGGAAAGTGTTCAGAGTATTTTGAAAGGGTGCTTAATCGATCGTGTCATTTTTTGGTACTTCTTTATTATGACGTATTTTGTAGGAATTTTGGGCATGCATTTCTTTACTTCATCAATCAAGATGGCCGCGGCGAGTATGCAGGAGCCTTAAACGTGCATTTTTTTTTTACGGCGACGTGCAATTTTTTACAGTGATATTGCCGTGCTCCGGCGATCATTGAGCGAGCGGCGCGGTACGAAAGAGGTTCATATCTTACAGTCTATATAGTGTGTAGCGCGTGTAAATAAATTTTCAAATGAGGAAAATGTTATGAATTTAATGGTGTTCCGTACACGGAAAGAATATTGCAATAGAAATTACGTTAAGATTATGTTTCACCTTATAATGTTTTTTTGCACAGCTGGGCTGTACTGACGTTGTAGTGTAAATTGCTGTAAAAATAATAAAAATTTAGCTGAATAAATAATATAACATCAGCTGAATATAAAATATTAAAAACATTCAATTACAATAATTTTGCAGTGAATGGTCGAATATTTTTCAACGAATAAAAAAGCAATTTTGCTCATAATTTCCATATGGTCCAAGATTGCAAAGTTTTGTTGTAATCTTTACTGCAATATCTTCTCCGTGCACACAAATTCTACGCTGACATCTGTCCCTCTCCCTCTTTCTCTTTCTGTACGAAGACGGAGATGCAGGAAGGGAGCTCCTTGATGAGTGTCTCCAAGACTATTGTATTCACTGACATACAGTATATCTTTACAAATATGTAATCCGTTCTACATGTGTTCTTGAATTTGTTCGGCGGGGCCAGGAACGGGGTAGAGAGTGCGTTATTAGACTGTTCGTCTCTTCGCCGAGAACAAGAATCATCCATCCCGCCTCTTTGTCCCCTCGTATCGAAAAAAATAACGCCGTTTGCGGATGTAGGATCTACATGGATCGAACTCGCAACGTTTGCCGACTTTCTTCAGCGCGACTTTGCGAATACACTGACGATTTGCGGATACATCGTTTTCTCTCTCTCTCTCTCTCTCTCTCTCTGTCTTGCTCCTCTTTCATGTGACTGTCCGTCTGTCTCTTCCTCGTGGAACGAAGCGGATTTTTCTTCACACGTACAATATACGCAACACCAAAAGCGTTCGTCTCTTACGAGCTATATCGCGAGCTACCAAACGCACGCAGGCGAAAGCTAAAGCGCCTTTTACGACTTTGACATCGAATGCGGAATGTGTCGCGGCGCGAATTGCGACGAGAGAGAGTGGAATGAATTTCCTCGTGTCCGTCGCGTTGATTTGACACTTAATAACCGGCCAACGGAATGGAAATTTCGATCGATTATTGCGTTGATGTTTTCGAGGGATAACGAATAACTCTAACGCTAATCCGCACGAGTCGCGCTCCGAAAGGGATACCGATTCACAGTCCATGTCGACTGTGACACGTCACAGGCTTCCGCGCGATAGCTTCGATTCGTGGCGATCCTTGAAATATTGACTGTTTGCTTCCATCGTCGGTCGTTCAAACCCTGTGCGATTTTCCGTCTCGTTGTCATCTTCTCATCGCGCTGATTCGACTGATCGATCATTTCGTCGACGAATTTTCGCTCATTCCCAAAGCATCGGACAAAGCCGTGGGAGAAAAGAAAAAAAAACGAGAGATCTCTGAAAATTATACTTGTCTTGTGGAGCGAGGATTTTTGGGGGAATACACACGGAAATGATCGATCCAACTCGACGGACCTGCATCGTCGTCGGATAACAGCTACATTGTACTCGTGTAACACGCGCGCATCACTTGTCGCTCGCTTCCCGGGATGCCGCATTGTTCGCGTGCTCTCAACAATAATATATTACGTACGATAAATATCTTAGACACGAACAGCAATACCCGGTCGGTCGTTGTTAACGCAACGACTCTGGACGATCTCGTCTACGATAACAATGTCTACCGTGAAAACGTAAGCTCTTAAAAAAGTGTAAACCAACAAGGCGAAGGTTTTCTCATTAACCCGCTTATATATCGCTTCATATACACGCCACGCGATTTTGTTTTTTTTTCTTTTGTATCCTCTATTCTCTCCTGCCAGAAAACAATATTCCGCTTCTTTTTTGATTAATCTCTCGTTATATTTGTTTTTTTTTCTTTTGTATCCTCTATTCTCTCCTGCCAGAAAACAATATTCCGCTTCTTTTTTGATTAATCTCTCGTTATATTTGTTTTTTTTTCTTTTTACGGGCAGACGCGCGCGGCTTCGCGACGAGCGACCGCGAATGCCGCGCGACATTCTTGACAGCCCGTTGCGTAACTTTATTGTCACATGTAACACTTATTACAACCTGTCACGAGTAGGGTTTGTCGCTCGGTCGGCTCGCAATTTTTTCAATGCGATTTTACGAACGAGAACGAGCACACGGTACACCTGTAAGTCAGAATATAACGCAAGATTGACGAGAAACGAACGAGAGGATTTAAAACGGATCATGTCCTCGTGTCGGGGGTGACTCGTCAAGAACGACGCAACGGAATTCAACGTACGCACGGAAACGCAATTACGCCCCTAAGCGCTCGATAACGACTTGTTTCTTTTCCTGTTTTTTTTTTGGTCAAGCCTGTCGGATGTCCGAGATTCGAATTGGAAAAAGTACACGCGTCTCTATCTTACTCGTATTCTATTAACCGCTTAAATTAACATTTACATTGAAATTGATGTGTATTTAAGTATCCTGCGAGAGATGAGGGTGTCTCACTTCGGCGTGATAAGGTCGCCTGTGAGTCGGTGCTATTATAAATCCAAGAGCGTGACATGACGCTTGTGTAATAACATTTAAGAAGGGCTTTCTCGTCTGCTGTTCTTCCCTTAATATCGAGTGGATATATTAGTGTTGGGCATTGATCATAACTTATAAAATAGACTGTATATTCTTACGGGATGACTGATGACAAGATTGAAGGACAGAGATATGCTGAATCAAACACTTTCTCTATCGCACAATGTACTAACAAGCGGACATCACGTACTCTGATTCACCGATTTTGACAAAATTTTTATGGATAATCTTTGTAATGAAGTGTCTTGCAAAGCCATTTCCCCGAGAAAAAGTCATAAAGTTTAACGTAAACGTATGCACAATGCAAATACTCAGACTGTTAAGCTGATTCCAGTGGTTTGTAGCGGCACGACGGGAAGATTCTTACTGAAGACTTGAGTTCAAGTACCTTATGGATTTTTTTATATGTATGGAAAAGTTAAATATATTTAAATACGTTTTGTAAATACAATCACTATTTCCTAATTTATTATTTCTTTGTAAAAATTTGAATTATAATAGCAATAAATTAGAAAATAAAATAATTAATAATAATAAATAAATTTTTTTATTAAAAACTTAAATTAATTATTAATATGGCTGATTACCTTTTTAATCAATGATTGATGATTAATCTCAATAATCGATTAATTGAGATTACATCGAACAAATTGTGATTATATTTAATGATTGTTTTAATTGATTACTTTGATTAATTATGTACTGATTAATAATTAATTTTATCAATTGATCGAATTATTCGTGCTTACATATATAACGAATGATGATTGTTGATTTGCCGGTTATGTTAATCAATTAAAATTTTAATCGATTAATGCCCAACACTTATATATATGTATGTGTACGTGTGAGTCTGGTATCTCTCGTGGTAGTGTGCGGTTTGGTAAAAGCGCGCGCGCTCGCGTGCGCCATCGTGAGCGGACGCAGAAATCATTTCGATAAAGGCAACTCAAGTTCTCGCAAGTTCTCTCTTATATTTCTATCGAATGTTCGCGACAAAAAGCAACGTCGCGCTTTCACGTCAGATAATGAAAATATCATCATAATCATCGTCGAAGCGACGACAAAGCAACGACGACGACGACAACTCGCGGACTTGTCTGTGTATTCTTTGTGCATTTGTGACAGCTTTATATATTCGTTTTCTCGTATTTCTTCCGCGTCTAATCTCTCAGCGAAGCATCCGGCATGGAGAAATAATTCGTTTCACAGCTAACCATTGCGTTAGCGACGTCCGCTGCGCTCGAGTGCTCTTTACATCGGAAACAATGTCATTAAAGTCAATTTGTAACGAGATCTTCCTGTCTCCGGAAGCGATGCCGTCGCCGCTACAAAATAAATAGGAACACGACGCAGTCGTGGTCGTCGTCGCCTCTCACGCGCAGATTTTGATTTCAATTTGATTGATGTCGTATGACTAATAATTACGAGGATATCGCTATCACAATGGCGCGAAGACAGTGGATTGCGATTGCTTTCATTCGACGGTAGTTGTCACACGAATACGGGTAGTCTCCTGTCCATCATAGGATGCAATCTGAATTTCTTCAGCTCCTTCTTCCGTCTTCTCTTCCTCCTCCTCATTGTCAATGGCGTCATCGGCCCCGTTATTTTTCCCGTATTTTGGCTTCTGCCGGCGCACTGTCTTCGTCACAACCATATCTAACAACAGAGGGGGAAAAATTATCCAATGAGTACCAACTAACGGTAGTATTATATCAATCCTGTAGTTTCTCAACAATGTAACTATTATGTAACTATTATGTAACTGTTATGTAACTATTATATTACAATATTACTGCGTAACTATTATGTACAATGTTACTGCGTTACGATGTAACTGTTATGTATATACAATATATTACACTTTACCCTGAAAAAATGTACGAAGACAAGAGTGGAGTGAGGTAGAGAAAGAGAGTGAGAAAGAGAGGAACTTTTATGCCTTAATTAGAAACCGAGTTATTCACCTCTTCGCTATTGATCACTAGTCAGACCTTTTCGCCACTCGATCGCCTCTCCTGCTGCTTCTCCTGCTGCGACCTTTCCTTCTGCTCCTTTTCTTTGTTTCGCTCCTTCTCGCGCTCCCTTTCACGCTCCGCTTTTCTCTCCTTCAGCATCTCTATCCTGCGTGCTCGGTGAAGACTCCCGGACGGGAAAGTCGAGTCCTCGACGGCCGCCGCTGCGGCTGCCGTTGCACCTCGCTCCACAGCTGTCTGCTCAATAAGTTATTCCAATTTATTCCCCAAGACGCTCCCCTCGGGTTTGCATGCGCAGAAGAGGCTCGCGCGAATAAGGGTATTATTGATAGAGCGACTTAGATACATACTTTGAGGATAAAGCTGGCCGTGGAACTTTTCGCTATCGGACTCTGACCGGTCGGATGCCCGTGGCCGTGGCCGTGCGTGCTGAAGTAACCACCCATCTTTGGTTTGATGTGTCTGTTGTGCATCTCCATGTGCACGATCTTCATGAATTCGATGCGCGCCGCCAACTTCTGGATCTCCTCCTAAAATAATTGTACGTGTCAGTACCGCATAGAGAGTATCGGTGTATAGCAATTACCTTGAGCTCTTCGTTTTCTTGATACAAGTCCGTCGTCTCCTCTGGCACTAAGCCGATCCCGTTCAGGGAGAAGCTCGCTGTGACGCCGCGCGCTCTCGCCCGACTGTCCCATTGATCTCCTTGGCCTCGTAACACTCTGATTACCTGAAACATCAAAAAAATGAATAAATAAAGAATCTTACCCACTTTAGGCACCTCGCGATTAGTAATGAATCGCATACTGATCGGCAGAGGAATAATGAAGATCTTTGTTTAGATAATGTAGTTGCAGAAGTCTTGAGACTTGTGAGTTTATCAATGCCAACGAACACAAGACAAACTTGTCTCATATCAGAATGTCTCTATACGAATTCTAAAACTTGCGTAAGATTGTAAATGAGAGAAACGGACTAGTTCCTTGCCTTAGGGCCGAAGACGAGAAGAACTGTGACGGACGTGGAGAGTTGAGTCCGCAGGAAGCCCAGCACGTACTTGATATCCGGCCCGGCACGGGGGAATATGAAGAGACTGCGAATAACGTCGTACGATACATATCGTCTACGTTCTCACAATCGCGCGTGCATACGTGATATTAATGTATACTTCATTGTGTTACGTACTGAATGGCTATCATGGTTATGTTCACCGCGGCTATATTGTAAATGGCGTAACTTATCAAACGGGCTTCGTTAAATAGACTCTCCGCGTTTCGCACGTTGTAACATACCTTTATGCCCCAGGCGAGAAAGAGAATTTCACCTGTTCACACACGGAGACAGACACAATATTATACAGACAAATCGTTTTGCTGATCGTCGATTGGGAACACATCTTCATCTTGGGAGAAGCCGTTTTCGCGCGCTTACCGATAGCCAAGCTGTGATCCCACCAGTTGTAAGAACACTGGTAGAACTTAAGATCGTGATTATCCGCGATCACCTCCGCGTAAGGCGGCGCGCTCAAGGTCCACGTGCCGAGATAGATCAGCATTACCAGCAGGATCGGCACCATCCACTGCAGCAACTGTTTGTCTGTTAGCTTAACTTTGTGAGCGCTCTTCACCCGATACGTAAGCGAAACCCTGGAGACGAAGAACGATCCTCTGTTAATGCCGCATGAGGCTTCTTCACGATAAATTTTAATTATGTTCAATTTAAAACCACTAAAACCACTAAAATGCTCAAAATGACGAATTTGTAATTTTTATAAAAATTTTGCCAATTTAGATGGTTTCATTTTCCACGCGAGTCCGGACACGAGCACAATACTTTATGGAGAGTTTAGAAATGGAGATGGTCCAGGAATGAAGATGGTTCAGGAATGGAGGCGATCTAGGAATGAAAATCCTCCCTTTCATTACACTTTTAAAAAAACTTCATTTCTGATAGAAATAGATCGTTAATGTCGGTAGTTCTATTGTTAAAAATACACGTGTTAACGCTGATCGCCGACTACTTACCGCCAGGTCTTCATTAGTAGCGCCGTGTAGGAGACGCAAAAGCCCATATGCCTCGTCCACTTGGTGGCGATGCACGAGTACATGTCGAGGACCGGAAATATCGCGGCCATCTAAGAATAAGATAGCGAGGAGCATGCTTTAACGCTCAACGGGGTCTTTTCTTTAAGTAAAGAAACTAAAGAGAACGCCCACTCACCTCGAGATACATCAAGGCGCAGCCCAGAAGCGTGATTGACAGGAAGATCGGGGATGCGACCTTGAATACCTTCAGCTTGCGATTTTGGTACATGTACGCCACCAGTATAATTGTACCAAACACGCAGAAGATGGAGACGGCCAGCAGTGTGATCCTAGAACAGATAACGGTCAGATTAATTAAAGATACCAAGGAGGCCACGAAGCGACGAGACGAAGATATATATGCGCGAGCTTAAAGGGAGAAGTACCTAAAGGGCCAGTTGTACGTCGCTAAACAGGGCTCAGGACCTTTGCATCTCGCACATCCCGGCGCACAGCGCAGACATTGGAACGCCTTCTCATACGAGTCACTCTTGTTCTCTTTCATCTCTTTCCACGCGGCTGCAACAAGTAATCGCGCTATATATTGCGATCGTAGTTTCAAAATTAAACGGAAATAAGCGAGTCGAGATAATACATTGAGAAGAAAATATTTGGTATTTGAGAGGCAACATATATAAAAAATAAAAAAATTGTTATTCGGAGTAAGTACCAATAATACATTTACTTGTACTAATTTAAAATATTTTTCAAATAAGAAAATATATATTAAAGAATTTAAAGATATTAAAGAAAATATATATATATTTTCTTAAAACAATATAGCTTTTCATGGAAGCAATTGTTTATTCTATTGAAATAAAAGATTTTAGTAAATGTTATTAATAGCTACTGCGAAAAAATATTTTTCTTTACTATTTTACTACTTTATTTATCATTATAAAGCCAGAAATTACTATAATTTTATTATGATTAATTATGTTTTGTCTGTTGTAGTGTAACGGTGATAAATTGGTTCTGACCTTCCACGAGAAATCCATCGAAATCTGCCTGATGATGCCTGATACTATAGAAGCCCTGCCGGCATTTACACACGTAAGCGCCTTTCGCCCAACCAGCACCCACGCCGTTCTCGTTCACACGACTGCCCGGACCCTGATACACACACTAAAACCGAAAATGAGGAGTATTTTTTCTTGTGACATCCTTAAAATTCGAATCTCGCAGAAGAATTCTTGCTGTCTTCTAATGTTCTTAAACTTCCAAGATTCGTGTGCTTTTACAGATCACTCGACACACATACCTGCGTGGTGTCGGTATGGCACTTGTGAGTGCCCTTGAAGAAGCCGATCTGATTGCTTGTAGGAAGCTCGAGTCCGTCATTGCTGTTTCGTGGCAGCGGCGCGTCACATTGGTTCACTTCCAAGCCGCTTATGTCGACATCCATGCTTATGAATTCTCGCACCCTTGAACGAAAACGCGAACGTCAGAATGCGGCCAACACAATGGGATCGCGTGTGAGATTCCATTAGAAGTTAAGATAACTTGCCAAATTCCGATTAGGGTAATCGACAAATAATCGATTGCAGAATTGCTGACGTCAATTTCCAGCTGTGTAATTTGTTGTGCCTCAGCGAACGATAAAATTCAAAATTTCTGTCTATTTTAGCAAAACAGAGCGAGTAATATTCAGCAGAGTTGTTGAGAGATCAATTGAATTTTTCTCAATTTAATAATGGACTTAAACAAGTATGTTTCAATCTAAATAATCGATGTTTACACATGGACTACTCATTGACAACAAAAACTTGAAAATCATAATCTTATGGGCCGCATCACTCTTGCATAACTATGATTAATTCTGACAGCTTGTAACATTGCAATCATTCATTCGATAAAAAGTGCGCAAGTCGGCTGGCAATCGAATATACAACAGTCGTACTAACCCGGGTCGAATGTCCGGTGACTTAACGTTGACGCTGTACGAAATGAGCCAGCGGCGGGTCTTGCAGGAGAAGTACGGGATGGTCCACCAACCCCTGTAGGATTCAATCGGCGGTGACTGCATGAATTTCGGTGACCTGGGATCACACGCAAACGCCACAAGCCGCCATAGAAACTTCGATCTCTCTCTCAATCTCCCTCAGTGTAAGACACACGTGATTTCGTGCAACGAGTCGTATACGCCCGGCACTTCACGGTCATCCCCGCTGGTAGCTGCTGCTGCACCCGGCACGATCGATCCAGAGCGAAATGATAATAATAAGGCCTCGACGCCCCTGCCTCGCGAGATCGCACATTTTTGCGTTCCGTTATCGCTGTTATCGAGTTTCTATGACCTGTCGCTCATACGGGGTGATGAGGGATGATGAATGATCGTGGAGCGCCTACAGGACGAGTGCGATTCTCTTCCGATCGCGATCGCCGCGGGGTCGCGGGTTTATCCATCCCGGAAGAGAAAGGCGACGTTAAGCATGAACGACGGAATGCAAGAGAGCTAAGAGATTTTCGCGTGACTTTCGTGCTTATGCGTGTGCATCGTCGTGCGTACAGTCCAGATAATTGACCGTAGTCGCGAGAATGATTCAATCCACACGAAATACGTTTTGAGAAAAAAGAATAAAATTGAAAATTAGATACACGATTTAAAAAATCGTTCAAGAAGTCAAGCATAGCCAATCTTTTTCTCTTTAAGAGTATTCATTGACAAACTTAATTCTTAAAAAAATACTTGAACGCAACTAGCAAAAAATAGCGCAATTAGTAGAAAATAAAAGCTGTCCTTTTAATTAAGATTAGGCGCTTGGATTTTTCCTGTTTTATGTAAAAAATCATGCCTTGGTAACAAAAACTCAAAAATCGTAGTTTTGTGGATGGATCATACCTGTCTAACTATGATCAATTGAAAGTTGTCTCGATACTTTTACCTCAATGAGTTTCACAATGCGTCTTGTATATTCAATAGAAAAATCATTTATTAATCATTCTCAAGAAATATATTTTTTCCTATTGAATACGAGATGTGTTGTGAAATTCGTCGAAGCAAAAGTGTCGCGATCTTTGATCATCTGACTGTACGTAAGTGCGTGCGTGCATGCGTGCATGTGTGCTTGCGTGCGCGCGTATGATGAGATACACTGAGAGAAAAAATATGTAAAAATAAAAGTTATTTATTCGGTGAGTACTAATAACGCATTGACCTAAATTCTTTTATTTAAATGGAATAAATAATTGTTTTTATGAAAAAATCTAAGATTTTAAGAGAATGTGTATTCTCTTATTTGGAAAATATTTCATATTAGTACAAGGAAATATATTTTTTATTTCGTAATTACTTTTTCTCTCAGTCTATATGAAAGACAAAAGTCTCTTCAGGATCCGCTCGCTAGAAAAAAACAGATCCACCATCGCATACACGGGAAAAGAAATCTCAGTTTGGGCAATTGTATAGAACTAGTATGAAAATTCGACGATGTGAAATAACGTCTCCGTTACCGCAATCGGAAACATTTGCTTAAACATTTAGCTGTACACGGAAGAAAGATTTTAGTTTGTGTAACTAAATGAGTTGTATAACTAAATGAGAACCAGACGAAAAACTCGTTGACGAGAAATAATGTCTCTGTATGACTGCGAATAAAACATTCGTATAAACATTTAACTAAATTAAAACTCAGTTGAAGTAACAGAGCAATTCGCTGAATAGAAACCTCACTGAGAGAAACTATCCAATAAAAAATTAACAAACGAATATTCCCGATCAAAATTCGGTCAAATACTGATCAATTTTTAAATCCGAATAGAAAATATCTAATGAGAATTATCGATTTTTCATTTCTTCATCAGTTTATATGATAAAATGCCATTATGTGATCGGAAGTATCCGATTAAATTTAATCGGATGAAATATAAAAATTGAACAAAATTTAATGGACAATATTCGTTTATTGATTACTTATCGAATAATTTTTCTCAGTGTAGAAGCTTTCTATAGGAATCTTTCTGTTCTTACCAGTCCTTCATCTAGTCTCTATTCTTACCAAACAACGTAAAATTCAGTTACATTAACGGAATTGTTTCTTCCGTGCAGTTTCGAAGATTCGTAAATAAGACGACCCAGTAAATGCCAACCAACAGCAACATTATATCAATGTTATAACTATCAGCTCAACAGCGTAATTGTTACATGAAAACAAATATTCAGCTGCATCAAAACTTGGTTGAGGTAACTGTGACTGTTAGTTGGTGATTATTTGAGAGAAATTTCAAGAGAAAGAAAGAAAGAGAGAGAGAAAGAGAGAAAGAGATAGAGCTTTGGCTTCTGCGAGACAAGTAAGGCTGCGGCACGAATGTGCGAACAGTCGATGCAGCGAACCTTAGCTCAATGCTGCCGCCGGCGTTCTCGAACCACGGCAGGCTTGGATCCGGCTGTGATCCGGGCTGGAGCGCGTGACTCTCGACCTTGATGGGCTCGCCGACGCTTCCCGGGCTGCGCTTCAGCCACACCGCGGTAATGACGGTGCCAGTCGATGCGTTGAGCGCGATCACCCTTGCCTCTACCGCGTCGTCCACCGACACGAGCAGCGACTTCGTCAGGGCATCCAGGAGGGCTAAAGTGCGCAATTTCGTCAGTTAACAGCGCGCTTCTGGTCGAAATCGTTATGCTCAACGACTGCTGTGCTGCCCTTCTTCTTCTTCCCTCTCTCTTTCGTCGATGCACGCATTGCTCAATACGCGCAACAGGTAGTAGACGAGAAACGAGAGAAGAGCAGGGAGCAGGTCGTCGCGCGCCATTTCTACCCAGATAGACAGGTGTTCGTAAATTTGTCAAGACTTTTATTAGCCGATTTGTACAAGTCCCTTATAAATGATTCATATAGCATTCATACCTGTTTTACATAGAAATACGAAGACAATTATCAGAATTTATTCAAGATAACGTGTCGTAAGATGTAATATGATAATACGAGTAATTTTCAGTAAATTTATTGCTGCATCAATGTAGCAAAAAATTTACAATGTATGTTATAATTTTAATGATTTATTGAGTTTTAATAATTCGTATAGTATATTTGCCTTATAAATTTAATGAAAAGAGAAATTATAATTTTCATTGATTGTCTCACGTCGTAATAATCATGAAATGTATCTATCTGGGTTTCCTTCTTTTCTATGGCTTCACTCACCGTTACGTCGCGTCGCTTCAGCGGCGCCGAGATTTTGCAACACCATGGCGGTCATATCGGCTTTCTGACGCGCCGTGTCATAACGTCTTGGGTCCAGGTCGACACCGGCCGGTAGAGACTTGAAACCTGCCGTGTTCACGCACACCTCGCCCAGAGAACCGGTGGACGCCGCCTCGATCACGTCCAGCGCCTCCTCGATGATCGCCTTGAATGAGGAGAATCACTGTCAGACAGGTGAGACATCTCCCGAAGATCACGAATCGAGAATGAGGTTGGCAAATTAATACTAAAACTACCAACGGCCTATTTCCGCCTACTGGATTTGAATCAAATTTTGTATAGTTATTCTTTAGATCCTGCGGAAAATATAGGCTACATGAAATCTGGACGACACCACTCATCCCCCTGATCTTATCTCCTTGATACTTTGTAAGAAGATCTCAGCCTTTTACGAAAGTAATCGTTTATTCTATTCAAATGTAAGAAAAATGTATATTTAAATAAATATATTACCAATACCCAACGAAGAAATATTTATTGTTTTAGATATTCTTTTCTTCTTTTAATGTAGCTTTTAGTGTAGCTTTAGTATTGGCAACTCGTACGAACCCGTTTAGAGTCGATCGGTGAGTCGTCACGAGCAGTAGTGGTGAGGGGCGCCGTCGAGGATGGATCGGCCGCTCTTGTCAGTGTGACACAGGCCGTCATCGTCATCGTGGTCACCGTGGCAGCGAATAGGACCGAGAGCCAGGACTCGCCCATCCCGTGCCCTGGTCATTTGTTCTTGTAACGAGGAGAGGAACAGACTCCGACAGATGTTCGATCTTATTGCGAAGATAACAACTGAGGGCGGGAGAGGAGGGGCTACACCTAGAGCTTAATCGCAGAGATGCTCACCTCCCACGGCGGTGGCATTCAAGTAGCGGCGAACTTGCGGCCCGTGAGGTCTATGGGCCGCTCGTACGCCCTCGCCGGCGATCGTCCGGGCATGTTCCCACCTGTCCGAGTTCAACAGGCTCGCCGATCCTCCATCGACGGTGAATCGTCGCGGCGGCAGCTTGGGCCTACATTGGGCGCAGAATGCGCGATGAGTGACGCGTTGTCGTTTACACCTCCTCATCTTCGCGGGCAAAATTCCTCCTCGCGCGATCGATTCGAGAGGGAGAGAGAGAGAGAGAGAGGGAGGGAGAGAGAACGCTAATCGATCCTGGAAGTTCTATCCCCGATGCGGCTTGTGTATGCCGCTGGTAAGCCCGTTTGATGAAGCGCAGGTGTATCTCCCTCGTGCCACGGGTATTTAGCTATTTTAAGTACAAACACACGCACGCTTCGAACAGAGTCGGGAATATCACTGGCGCGGCTATCGGCCCGGTCACTCGATTTCGTCTCGTTTCCCCGGCGTGTCGCAAAATAGAATAGGCGATCTCGCATAGGCGAGTCCATTTTCCAGCGGCTTACCTGGCCTTTGACAAGCGACACGTGAGGTTCGCTCAACCTTGAATAAACCCCAACAACCCTTCGCGGCCTCCCCCTCTCCCACCCGATCGCCCACCCGTTCGCACTCGCAAACATCCGTCCAACTGCGTCGCGAGATCGGCTCTCTCGCAGCATCGACGGCGACCTCGACGCAGCAGGCGCACGACAACCAGAAGATGAGAAAGAGAGATAGAGTTTAAGGCGATACCAACATAACGCAATTTCGTAGCTTTCTCTTTTCTTCTAATTGAAAATTACTTTACAGAGTGAAAGTACAAACATTAATGAATGGATGATGCTATAAGCAATTGCATAAAATTAACAAAAAATTTTTATTACCGACCGAATATAAAATTTTTTTTATTGATTTACTCTTTAGCAACAACCACTTATTAACGTTTGTACTTTTATTCTATAGAAGCATTTTCAATTTGATGATTTCAATTGGAAGAAAAGAGAAAACTGCGATGTGTCAGATCCAACATCGCTTTAAGGGGGTGTTGAATGCCGATATACTGCAGTTTCGCAGTTTGCACTGTTTTCCTACTTTGAATTGCAGACTCTTTTGCAGAGTGAAAGTGCAAGTGTATAGTGTGCGGAAAGACACGAAATATTTTGTGTCAAGAACAAGAAAAAGAATGTATAGATGAAAGAAATGCTTTCACTTGATTTCACTACACATTCAGCGTCTTTTCCATGCATCGACATTTGTACTTCTAATCTGCAAGAGCATTTGTAATTTTATGTAATTAAACAGGAATCCAGCGCGAAATACGAAACTGCAATCAAATATCTGTTAAAGTATGAACGGACCAAAAATTCCGGTCATAATTGCTGGAATTCCGTTCAGAATTAGCAAGATTTTTGGTCGAGCAGAAGGTCTTGTTAACTCAGATAGAATTCCGGTAATTTCAATCAGACTTCTAGTTCGTTTATATTTTGTCAGATATTTCGTTCATTCGAGCAAATTCTTCTTTCTGCGTGCATCCTTTGAACAGAGTTAATGGGGGAGTCGTCGCGTCGCTCCTCACCCGGAATCGGCTCGAGGTCGGCTCAGCAATCAGTCGTCGGTGGCTAATTAGCCTCGTGACGACGGAGGGAAGCGCGATAACGCGCGCGGAAGAGCACGACGTCGAATCGACGTGGGGACGACGTAGGAACGACGGCGATCGGAGGGGAAGTACCGAGCGCGCGCTCATGTGGGACATCGCCGACGAATCGCTCTTTAATCGGCGTGAGATCGATAGCGCGCGAGGGCGCGCGACGAGTCGATTTGGCCAACCCCCTTCGGAAGCGCACCCTTTTCGTGCGTCACGTGTGCGTGCGTGCGTGCGTTTTCCTTCACGTCGGAAGCCGCGCGATCGATCACTGAAATATTAACGACGTAATACGCGACGCGCGTGATGCGATTTGCGGCATGAGATTCGAGCGTTGTAAATCGCATCACGTGGCATGCCACCGGCTAATTGCGTCAATCATCAGAGCGAGTGATCTCTCAATCGGCCTCGAGGGGCTCGTCGATTCGGCCATTCAGAAAGGACGGATCATTATCGTCGAAAAATTACCGGACAACTCAAAACTCTTCAACTCGAGCCTTCTCTCGGCATTTTGTTGTCATCGTGATTGCCTGAGTGCGGGTCTGAATAAACTACTGTGTGATCGCACGAATCCAACGAGCTGAGCTACGTGATCGAGGCACCGATGTGCCCTTTTGATTCTTCTCGCCGGGGCGGGCTCTCGACAGTCCACGCGCGTCGACAGCCGCGATCGCGAATTACAGTGTTTTTCTAGCGCGGCGAGGTCGCGTCGTCCGTCCGTTCGTCCGTAGGAAACAAGCGCTATAGCGCCAGCGGAAAACGATCGATGCAGCCAGCGGCGGCACGGCACAAGCCACCCCCAGAGCTCGCCGCGTTCTCACCCCTCTCTCTGCGAGCACCGCTGCTCTCGCTCGTTTCGTGTCGCATCTCTTGCCTTCGCGCGACGTTCCCTCAACATTATTTCACGCGGCATGCCTTGGACTGGACGCGGCGGGACGTCATTTAGAACCAGTCTTGCCTACGGAAACTTCTTTTGAAACTGCTCGGAATGGATTCCACTCGGGGATAGTTATTTCCTAGATGTCTATCGCGTCTTTCCAGGACAAATCTCAGGATTATCTCGATCGGAACCCACTGCGAGTAGTTCCAGAACAGCTCTCCGCAGCTCGCAGAGAAGATACATTTGGTCCAGTTGGGAAAAAAGGAACGAAACTCCTATATTGTTGGTCGTTTCGCTTTCGCAAAACAGATCGCTTTTTCACAGCGCAGTGGGAGTCGTGTGCGCGTAATCGTCGTTTATTTTCCGTCTCTAATCGCCTCTAATCGTTTCCTCAGACTCTTTTGCGGATCAATCTCACGGTCCGAAGCATGCAGCTTCGGTCTCGGGCCAGGAGCAAGATGAGAGTCTTATTTACGTACGCGGAGTGCTTGTTGAACTTACGTGGAAAGGTTACGCGGAGGCGTATCCGTGCGCAAGATGAGGCTACCTGTGAGCAGCGGATATTTCCATTCACCGGAACCATGACACCCTGTCGATCACTGGAATAATAAAGATGCAATTGTACTTTTGTAGACGTCTGCAGAAAATTTGCGACACTGCTTTCGGGCAAGTTCAGACAATACAATGACATTTACACAGCAAAAGAACAGTTAGGTCACACGTAAATCGAGTTGCGCCAACTAGATTCCCTTATAGAAATATCATACTAAGAATCATTGATAATTACTTATTATCCAGTATTTTTAATACTGAAAATAAGTAATTATCAATGATTCATAGTATGATATTTCTATAAGGGTTCAATATTGAATACTGAATTGTTTCTTTCGTGTGCACTTCTGTTTACAAATGACTTTCGTGCACTTTGTAAGTCAAAAATTTCACAGCTTTCAATGCTCAAGCTCGCACACTATCTTGTTAAATTCTTGTTTACAAACTTGTGCAAGAAAAAGAATGCCTTTATGTAAACGACTGTACGCACTGTGAGGAATTCTCAGGGCAGTCTTGCCATCAGCAGTGAGGCCGACCGATTCATCCCCTTTTCGAAAAATGTTAAGTTTAGTAATGTCGTCGCCTCTGCACGCGTTTCATTGACTCAATGCCGTGGGGATACGGATTTCTTACCGGTTATTGAGTAAGCGACTATTTCAAGAAATCACCACTCGAATATCGCGTAAGCGTTCAATCCGGATAGGCGCGCAATTATCGTTGCATTCCGACGAATTCTTCAGCGCGAGATGCCGAAGTTAAAGGTCGAACTGACGGAAAGAGCGCGTCAAGTGTGAATAGTGCGCGCCAAAAAAAAGAAATAGAAAAAAAGAGCTACACACTGCGCTTCGCGCATCGAGCGAGACGCGCGGAAGTCCGCGGCGCTTCACCTCGTCTTCGAAAAAGGCAAACGAGAGAAGCACACGCATCTTCTCTCGCACATATAACGCATTACATAACGCAGACGCTCAAATATCGAAATGCATATTGTATGTGTATTTTCTATATATGCGATAGAAAATTACCAACGGAACGGGAGAACGGGAGATTCAATGGATTCGAGTGATCGTTATCGTGGTAAAACTACCCCGGTCTAAACGCGCCTCCAAGTATCGTGGTTGTTGCGTCCAACGGACAGTGAATAATCGCCCACTTACCCTCGACATTTAACGCCTCGCTTCCCGCGTGGACGCGTGCGAGAGGTGAGAGACGGTGACGAGTAGTGGTGGCGGTGGTGGCGGAGGACGACCTGGAAACGAGCTAATAGCTAAACGAACTGGCGAACGATGTCGTGCGCGATTAATCAGCCTCGGGACACAGCAGAGGAGAGACACGGGTGACACCAGGATGACGTAGTCTCACAGACACAGGAGACGACCTTCTCCGCACGAAGGCTCGCTCATGACTCCGGAGAGGACTTAGCTGTGTGGCCGGGACCAGGCCGGGACCGGGGTCGCGTCGTTGGGGCGTGCGCCCTCCGCGAGATCAAACTTGGTCTTCTTGCGACCGGGCAACGTGGAGATCGTCAAAGCGCGTCCGCGACGCGTCGCGAGACGACACGTCGAGAAGAGAGGTCGTGTAAGGAGAGCCTAAAGGGAAATCCCGGCGACGCGACTCTCCCTCGAGTCGGCTCCCGCGCTGTGAGACCCACGGCGGTAAACTCGAACGTCGCGCTCAGCATCCTCCTCAGGTTGCACCGCATCTCGCGCCGCGCGAGAAGCGCATGCCTTCCCTCGCCGCCGGGATTGGAAACTGCGTATGTAGGTCCAGTACGCGCGGGCGCAAACACAGCTGATTGAAATTCGAATTCGGTCGACGAGGAGGCGCGCCGCGTCAATGCCGCGCGGGTACCGAAGGCCGATCAGCGATCTGTCGCCCACGCTCGGTCGGCCGTGCGATTCCGATTGAGTCGGCTGAAGCGTCACGGTGAGTGCAGAAGAGGGAGCTGACTTGGTTTTCTCATCTGGAAAAAGAGTGGATGCAACAACACATGCAGGGTGTCCGGGCAATTCGTCATGCGGCCGCATAAAATATAAGTGGTACATATAAAATGAAAGGACGGTGAATTATTGCAGAATGTTGACTCCTCAGTTACAAAGTTTCATCATTGTTACTATAAGATTTTCCCCGCATAGAAGAATGTTGTGTTCAGTTCCATCTGTCCTACGAGTTCTATTTGTAGCTGCATAACGAATTGTCAGATATCCTGTATATACATAGACGTAGAAGCATAAGGAACATAGAGGAACACGTAAGCGTCTGTTTTCAGGCAAGCTGAGTTGTCTTTGCGTGATAACTTCACCATGGCGACCACTAGTGATGTCAAATTATCACGAAGTGAGGGTCAGCCATGGGGTTTTCGGCTGTCTGGTGGCGTTGACTACACTTTCCCTTTAACTGCTGTCAGGGTAAGGTGTTCGTGTTTCCGTTGCATTAGCGCAATAGACATCGCGATGATACGCGACATTACTTGCATCTCATCACGATATCGATACTCATTCGATGTTGCTCTGAGAATGCGAACGAGTGGTCTTTTTCGCATGAAACTAACGCGTTGCGCGCATTATCGTTAAGTCTGTTAATGCTTGTTCAACAAGGTGGCGATCGGGGGTCTCGCTGATACGGCTGGTTTGCAAGCGGGTGACGTGATTGTCAAGCTGAACGGAGAGCCGATAAGTCAACTCACACATGCGCAGGTCCACGATAAGCTCACCAGAGCCGGCAACGATTTTGTTCTGTCTGTCATGCGAGATCACGAGATCGTGCGACAACAGAAACAACAATAATAATGATGATAACGATAACGCCTATCGATGGCCTTTATTCTTTCACGTCGTGTTGTCGCGTGACAATAATCTCCCGCGATTAAAAGGTCGTCGCGCTGTTACATAACGAAGACTCGGTGCGAGTAGAGAATTACGTTGTAACGAGAAGCTAGAGAATAAAGTTATAAAAAATGCTGACGCTGATTTTTGAGCATATCGCGTCACACAGCCGTTTGAATTGACAGGCATGACGCCTCGACCTGTCCTTTTGCTCGCGTCTGGCACCAGTCGTGATGATCAAGGTCTATTAGTACAGAGTTGCGAAATCGTGTCGTCGATCGACCCATATCATCAAACGCAATATCTCGACTATCGACCGTGGCGGGGGAAGCGTCCACAGGCTTCATTAGATTACCACATTTGTTACTGGAATTTATTCAAGACCATCTTGTCTCTTTTATCGTAATTGTGTAAAACAAACTTAATTTGATAATGAAATATGGAAGAAGAAATGTTTTTGCTGTCACACATACACACACATATACGTGACATTGGTGCAAACGCGAATGAGCGAGCTTCTCCTTTTTTTCTTCTTTGATCAAGTGCTTAATCTGATTTAATCGTGGATGAGTAAGCATCGGGGAACTATGACTCCATATTCTCATATTCATAATTTATTCTTCGCTTTAATATATTAGATATTATTCGTAGAATATATGACTCTCGCTGTCACCGTTATAAACGATGAATACGCCATACGTACAGCGCGTTTCACGATATAATTTACACAAAAAAGAGGAATAAAAATAATGTACAATGATCATTCTCGCGTTTCCCTTTCAGTCACTCATACTCGCGCGTACAGTCACTCACCTGCACTCACACATCAAGAAACTTTTATCACACTCGTCAACATCTTCGCTACACTTTGTCCCGCGTCCCGACGGATGACTACCTGCCGACGCGGAACCAAGTACCGCTCGGAGAGAATCGACATTAAGATTAAAAAGGAAAAAAAAAAAAAACAGAAGATCACTTCGAAGGTTGCAAGATTAAAAGGAACATAGAGGAAGTCACGCGCTCTATAATTATAAGTAACGATCACACGTGCGATCACTAAGTGCCTAACTGTCTTCGTCTTCTCAGAGCCGCGGTATATGCACCCCCTCCCCTCCTTTCAGGACGAATCTACCGGTTGTCCTCGAGCGAGCACGCCGATTTCACTTTCCGTATGTGATATGATATCGGAAATACGAGAACTATACTACCCCATTGCGGCGATTATCTAATGATATGCTTGTTTCTGTGGTGTTAACGAATGTAATGTTGGGCTTTAACGTAGATTGTGTTATGTACACGAATTATTACAGAGAAAACCAACGAAAGTAGTTACTACGATACAACAAAAAAAAGGGGAAGAGATATTCTAAACCTCCGAGTGTGTGTGTGTGTGTGTATATATATATATAGTTTTTTGCGATCTGCGTGTCAAAGGTAAGATAATGAAGACGGTGGCTTCTCTTGTTGCTGAGAACGTATTAACTGTTGTTTCGCGATTATCCATTATATTTGTCCAGCGATACAACAGCTCCATGCGAAGACGAAAACGACCGACTCGTTCAGGTCACAATTGATCCGAAGAATCTACGACGTCTTGGAAACAGAAAAGCAAAGACAGAAAGCAACTGAGAAGCTTGCAGGTACTATGTCTGCCGCGGCGGTGACGCTAATCAATAGGCTAATTAATTAGCACGCACGTTACAGACCGTTCAAATCACTATGTCGGCGACTAATTGTAGCCGCGATCGATCCTGATATAAATTTACACTTTGGTATACAAATACATATAACCTAATTACGCGCAGCGCCATTGCGTCCTTCAACGAGCTGAGCCGAGCTGCGTCGTGTTAAAAACTATTGTGCAATATGTTTTATAGAATCACCGTACGCATGTCCTCATTCTCTCTTTCTCTGTCTTCACCTCTCCTCACGTCGAGAGGCTGTCATAGTAAATATATGTACAAATACAATCAGGTACAATAGTAGCATATGGAGGTTGATCGGTTTAGCTTCTAGGAAAACGGGTAGGTAACGCATAAAGAGGAAGGAAAAGGATGCAGGAACAAGGTAAGACAGAAAAAGAAAAAGAGGGAAGGAGGGAGAAAGAGAGAGAAAGAACGAAGACCTTTCTCTTCGCAGTCCGTGAGATCGTCTGCTCGACGTGCATTTCGCTTTCTTTCAACCTGTATCGAATTTATAGAACGATTTTGATTTTAAACATGTACGGTTCGACGCGAGAAGCTTGTATATATTTGGTCTGTTTGATCAGAGCAGATCTGTAGAATTCGTATAAATGTCTAATTGACGAAAATGAAGTAGTAATAGAGTGCGTTATATAATGTGTAAATGATCCGTGCGTATTCGTAACACACGGAGACCGTGGCGATCGAGATGAGGAAAGCGGAAGTGCATTTTCCACGAAGAGAGGCGCTCCGTGGTAAGCATAACTATTCCTCGTGTTTCCTTGTTCGACGAGACTGGCGGATGGCGTTACACAGCTGCATTTTGTGCGTTCGATTGTAGTAGTAGCCAGTGACGTCGATCTCACGACGGCTATTGGTCCGCTTGTTCGCTGATCTCCTCGTTCTCGGACACGGACGGCGACGGCGTCCTGTCGTGGTTTGTGCAGTTCTCCGCCTCACACTTGGTTTCTGCGATCTCCAACCAGTGTCGCTTATTCTCCCTGACTCCGTCAACAAGTGGTACGAGTTTGTCCGACAGTTGGGCGAATGCCTGTGAAGGAAGCGACGAATGGTTAGAAAAATATTAGAAAACCTGAATTATAGCTTATTTAAGAGAATAATCATTCAAGCGTTCACCTCATAAATAGGCAGGCAGATCGAGTCGATGAAGCCGACTTGCATCATGGGCAGTTGGTCTTGCTTTTCCCGATTCATAATGTCCTATAATGTCATTGTACATTGTTTGCATTTAGAGCGCTTCTGATAGCACTTGCAATAATGTTCGACTATTAGCTACTCACGATAGGTGTAATGTTGAGCGTTTTCCTCTCTATGTCGCCTTGCTCGAAGAATTCTCTGCTCACGAGTTCGGCTACCCTTTTCTCGACGTCCCAGGGTTTCGTGATGGCGGCCAAGTCGCAAACTGTCATCAGCATACCGCGTAGAAGCTCTCGGTGATCGGTGTATGCCCAGTTGTAGGAGCCACTGCGCGCCATAGTAAGAAAGGCGCCGCGTTTCCGGAAGTAAACAGCCAGATCGGTGGAGAGTATCGCTTCTTCGAGTACTTTCACCACGCGTGAATACTCCTCCGGCGAAAGATTCGATAGGATTTGATTGCCCTGACTGCTCAGGATCATGAGGCACTGATCGAAATGGTGGTGCTCCATTGTTGAAGTCGAGTACAGTTGTGCCAATGGCGAAGAGGCTCTGGAAGAGACAATAATCTTATAATAAAATGCTTTGTTATATAAAAAATCGTATGTATATCTTATTCTTGACAGATATAATTTTCTAACAAAGTTTCACGCAATGTATTTTATTAAATAAAAATAGGAAATCGATCCAAGAGCGATTTGCGATACTCACTTGATCTGAAAGGAATTGTTTGTTCCGCGATGATCAAGATCATGGCACAGACAAGCAATGATGAGTGCGAGACACTCGATCTCACCGAAGATCTTCCACCATTGCGTAGCCTGAGAGAGGGAAAATGGATTACATTGGATAGATTTTTCAATAGAAAATCTGAAATTATTTATCATGTATGACCCAACAGTTGTACGAGATTTATAATTTTGATTGTCACGTTCACTTGAAGGAGTCTCTTACCGTTAAAATGGCGAACATCATTTGAGCCACGTTGAAAGCGTGCCGCCAGTTATGATATGTAACATTTCGATAGTTTTTTTTCACGCTGAGTAACCAACGACAGAGCACCGTGTAGTCGATGTGAAACCGCTCGACAAAGTCCAAGTCAAGGAACATCCTGAGACACGCGGAGAGAGTGTCGTCATCTGTCATGTGCTTGTCGTCAAATTTGAAATCGTGTAGTTGAAAATGCGCTGACGACGGAACTCTTATGGTCTGTTGAGCAGAGTGAAGTGCGTTAGGGTGATATTTCGCATGTCGTATGACAAGTTTGTCAGACATGCCGATTAACTCCCGGCGAGTGCACGACAAATACGATCATGAACAGCTGTATACGGAGTAACAGCTAAGCGGCACATCCGATAAACTTGTTGTACGACATATGAAATAGCGTCGTATAAAACATCGAAAACGTTACAGTTGTCGACGGCATAAAATAAAACTGGCAAAAGAGAAAAAAGCATCGGAAGCGTGCCAACCTTTAGTCTCTGCGCGTCTTCCAGTGACGCCGACGCATGGTAACTTAGTACTTCCAGAGTGACGCTCTGTTTCGCCATCGCTATCACAGCCTTTTCATACCTGAGAAAAACAGATACTTGATAAGCCAAGTCGGCCATACGCGTGAAAGTAAGATCTAACAGCGACTACACTTACATGTGCGTATTGTGAATTCCCATTCCGCAGAATATCGCGAAAGCCTCGACGAAATTCTCGTCGTTCTTCGTGAAAGGTAGATCGTCGAACTTGTTGATCAGTTGAATGACACCGATTATTTGGCCGGAGGAATTCTTGATGGCCATGCAGAGAATCGTGCGATGTTTGAAGCCGGTGCCATCGTCCACCATCGGGTCGAATCGCAGGTCTTCGTAAGCGTTCGGTATGTTAACAGTCTGAAAATCACGAGCGCTAATGTTTTCGCGTGTTCTACGCGCCGAAGGTGCGCGTTATAATCCGAACAATACTCACTTCACCGGTTGTCGCTACGTAACCCGTGATGCCGACATTAATAGGAAATCTACTCTCGAACGGACTGAAAAGGAGGAAGAGAGCGGGACTCTGCGTTAGACTTCTCGAGTAAACTTGTCCAAGAGACGACTAGACGTAATTACAAACTTGATTCACCTAGTGCGAGAATCGGAATCCTCACCAGCGAGATCGTTCGCCTCGAAGTCGAAGACGCGCGAGAAACTTCCCTTCGAAGCTTTGTGTACGAGCAGCACCTGAGGAGATAATAATTGCGACATTACGCGAATGTACCTTTCCTTGCGCTTGCAAGAAAATCGCGCCTTTGGTCAATGTTTCTGCTCCAATTACCTGAACACGTTGGCACTGAATCAACGACTGCGTGTGCGTGAGGATCCTGAAAACCATGTGCTCTATCGTGCTTTGCTCCTCGAAGATCATCCTAGCCAGATCCAGTAGAACCTAACGTCAATTTATCAGAATAATATACAGTTTTCTCACTTGTTCATTCTGAATCGATTAGAAGAACTCAATGCCTACCTGATTTCTCTTCACTTCTAACTGGCTTTTCTCGTAAAGTTGTGCGTTCCTCAAGCCGATACCGCAGAATTGCAAGTAACCGGCGAAGACCTTTTCGTCTTGCGCGGTGAACTGTCCCTCGCCGCCGAGTTTGTTGATCACCTGCGCCACTCCGATTACGTCACCGTTGCAGTCCTTGATCGGCATACACAGCAAAGCTCGCGTACGGTATCCCGTTAACGCGTCGATTTCGCGATTAAACCTCGAGTCCTGTGAAACGTTCGAGTCCTTTTTAAGTCCACCGGAATGCAAAAGTTACGTTCAATCGATTGAGCTATTCCTGGCTCGAATTTCCCGATGAAGAAGAAATTCTCCGCGTCGTAGTACGTGTACGATATAATATAGGTGAATCGCCGGATTAGAGTGCGGGGTTATTAGAGAATGATTAAGGTAAAGATAAAAATTCGTCAGATAAGCTGTACTCAGTCTTATTTACGTCCGAAACGATAGTATTCGTTGATACGAGAGCGAATGTTATGATTCACTGTGAGTCGGCGATGCTCGACACGATCGATCGGCCGTGAAGCGTCACGCTCTTGTTAGATAGGAGCCAGCAGATCGATCGAGACAAGGGGTGCTGCCAGCCCAACACGTGCGCTTATCAAAGTGATTTACGGGAAACTGTAATTCCCGAGTCTTGCCTTGTAAGCGTCCGGTATATTGACGGGTTCGCCGCTGTCAGCAACGTAGCCGACAATGCCGGTGCCCCACGGGATCTTGATCTCGTCCTTCTTTTCCATCTCCAGCAACGTAGATCTCGAGCAAACGTCGAAGAGCTTCGACACCAAGCATCTGGTCTTCGAGTAACACTGCTGATTGTTGCACCGCGAGTTCTCGCCGGCGGAGTTGTTCGCGCCGGAGTCGGCGGCGACAGTGGTCTCAGCGGCCTCGTGATTCGGCGAGGACGGCGGCGCGTTCGCCATGGCGCAGCTTCTCTCGCCCTGTACGAGGAACAGCGAGCCGCGGTCCGCGTGCAGCAACGTGCTCACGTTCTGCAGAATCTTGTGGCACAGCGATCTCACGTCCAATTCGTGACAGATGTCTTTGACCTACGAAACCGACTCTCTTAGAGCGAAAGGCTAAAGTAAACATAATCAGGGAGACTCACCAACTCGAAGATGAGATCTTTCTCGTCGAGATGCCTGAGCTCGTGCCTAGATCGCCTCTGCGGCCGGCTCGAGTTGCCGGATCCGACTTGTGGACCGGCCGGTTGACCCGTGTCGCCCGGCGACACGCTCAAGAAGGTCGGCGTGCCGTCGATCGTGTTGACGATCGGCTTCAGCAGACCGCCTCGCTCAAACTCGTGTGCCGAGATCTTGCGTACCGGCGTCGTGGCGCCCGAGCCGCCGGTGCCACCTCGACCAGAAGACGAGTTACCAGGCGCCGCGCCATGGGTCGGACTCGACAGCTCTACGCAGCTGCTGGACGATGACGTAGGCGTCGCGTGCGAAACCAGCCACATGTCCACGGTCTGCCGTGTCGCTTTCCTGGCGGGAAAGAGGCATGTCAACATCTTTTCGAAGAGATGCATTTAGAAATACTTAGTCTACCTGCCATTCAAATTAAACGTCGATTAATTCGAAGGGAGCGATACCTGAGGAAGTAATCATTGACGAAGTCGGGATGCTCGTCGAGCCAAGCCTCCATACGAGCATACTCCGGATCGTATACCGTCGAGGTAGACGTAGAGGAATAGTAAGCGCTGACGCCGCCGCTGCCGCTGCTTCCATCCTGCACCTGTTGCAGCATGCTTTGGCTCGCCATGGCGCCCTGCGTCCCTTGTACCGCCTGCACACAGGGAGCCGCCGTCTCCGCCGTCATCCTCGGCTCCTCGATGCTCCGCAAGTGCAGGCCTGCGTTTCACGAAGAGAAGAAAGATCATCGCATCGCGTTAAACAAAACAAAACATGGCTGTCGTCGCGCGTCTCTCTCTCGTTTCGCAACACGGCGCTTACGGGGTTACGGGCTTTCTTGGTTTTAAAATAAGAGAACGGAACGCGGCAAGAGCGCCTCCCTCTTGAAAAATTAGACGAGCGTGTCCGCAGAAAGAAGAAGAAAAGGGGAAGAGGAGGAATGACGAGAGCGCGGGTCTCGAGCGAGGTATTCATTTATGCGCGCGCGGTTTCTCGCCCGACGCGACGACGACGTAGCGATTCCGTCATGCACGCGCGTCGCTCGCACGCAAGCGAGCGAGTAACAGCACCGACGATCGACATCACGTATGTCGCGCGCCGTGCGAGAGCGGATATTGCACATCAAAGGAAAACCACATAACGTCACCGCCGTCTCGCGTTCCCCGCACCGCTTCCTCGAGCTGCTCGCGCGAAGGTAGCACACACACGGTAGTGACGGCGCTCGTCGCGTCCAAAGTGTAAAGCTGACTCGTACTTTATTCGCCGCGCCTACAGCAGACGAGACAGACCCTGAGGATTCGCGGATCTCACCATCCCGGCGGATCGCTTATTCCGAAACACGAGCTCCCCCGCGTGTTTTCCGCACCGCGGACTTTCCCGACCGCGCGAGGGAGACAGGAGAGTCCGACGATTCTGGGGTTGTTATTTAGTAATGCAGAATAGTCGATTGCAGAATAGATACAATGTTGGGATAATTAATAACATGTGTAATAATAATAATGTGTAATAATAATAAATATGGTAGATATGATGAAGTTTGGAGCTCACACCAAACTGTTAAAATTGAGTCATTGACAGGTTTGTATTATAAATTATTATGAATTATTACTATTTTTATCAGCATTTATTACTTTTAATTATATTATTACTGCCAATCCTGTCTATAATGACTCTCGATCTGGATAGATTAGTGAGTCCCCAACTTCGGCGTGACTAAATCGTTTTGCAACAAAGTGCACACGTTATTCATGACGAAAAACAGTCGTAGATCGATACCACCATCTCCTTCCCCTCCTCTTTCTTGCTCTTCTTCTTTCTGCGAGTCGCGGTACCATCGGATCCGTGCGGGACAATCGAGAACTCGTCGCGGAAAACGCGACCGAGCGACGACGGGCGTGCGAGCGTACGTGTGTAATCGAAATCCATGGAAAAACACGAGGCGACACGACAAGAGTTACCGGGTAAATTTCCTACGGGAGGAGCGCGCGCGGTTCTCTTCACGGATGAGTTAGTCGCGTCGCGTTGGTCCTGGCTCATTCGATCCGTCGATTACGGACTACAGGCTGGTCGACTGCGCACGGATGTCGCCGCGATAATCGACTAGAGCGGAGTAGTCACGTAGAACATTAGCTTTTTCGACGATGCGCTGATATATCGGGTCGTCCTGGAGATTTCTGAGGATTTTTTTTCTCGCGCTCTCTCTTCCTCTCTCTCTCTCTCGTCTTTTTCTCAATGCCTACCACCATGATCAGATTACAGATGAAAGTGTTCATGCCGTTTGCGCTCTTTTATAAGTCGCCCGGAAGCTTCCGGAAATAAATGTCGCGTTTTGAAAGCTTTGAAGTTGATTGTAAAAAAACCTACCATTCGTGACCCATTCGGCTGCTCGGTTCATTTTGTAACAAGAAATCCCGCGCGGGAAGTTCCTCCGCGCGGGTGCAACCCTATCTATTTTTTTCTCTCAAAAGTTTCATCACACGGAAGTTGATTCGAACGGCGCATTTTCCTTCGCGGGAGTATTGCTTTGCACATCGAGTCTCTCCCAGTAGGAAAATTTTTCCCTCGCCATGAAAGAACCAAGCCCGATCCACGCGCGCTATGACGACGACGACACAGTGGTACGCGTGGGTGGGCCGATGTTCTAACATTCCTTCATACTTCCGCGGCTCTCTCTCTCGCTGTTGTTATTAGTAATTTCAAACTCCTCGATTCTTAAACGCGCGCTGAATATCAATGGCTCGTTTAGCCAAGTTACTCGATCGTATGGGCCGCCCGGTGTATACGCGAGCGCGGCGTGCATCTTAACACCCGTTATACATATGTCGTATGTGCGTCACAGGAAAGGCAGCCGAACTGCAAAGCGACCGCACATTTAGAAAGAAACAAAGGTTATTATCACGAGGTTTTGCGCAGCTTCCGTTTCGCCCACAGACTTCTATATGTTACTAGATTGCTAACTTCTCGTTAGACGGCTCAATTTTAATCTACGAAACGAGTATGTAAACGAGTCATCCTTTCTGCGCTTTGATGACGTGTGTTTGCATCAACTAAAGAGGTTAAGTGAGGTTTTCACATTTTTTTCATACTGCTGCCATACATAAAAGTAGCACATATATATATATATATATATATATATATATATATATATATATATATA